CTTCAGCATCAACAGGCCCTGCAATGCACAGAGAACCCAGGAGTCCGGGCTCCCAGCCCTCCCTGCTCTAACCACTAGGCCCCACTCCCCTCCCAGAGCCAGGGATCGAACCCAGGAGTCCTGGCTCTCAGCCCTCCCTGCTCTAACCACTAGACCCCCACCCCCTCCCGGAGCCAGGGGGATAAACAGGTTTCGGGGGGATGAGGGTTTTCCCAGGGCTGGACCACCCGAGCTGGGGCCCTTTTGACATGGGCCAAGGGCAGGAGTCTCGTGGGGTCCCCATAGATCCCCAGAGCCCCGCTGCCCCCCCCCCACGGGGTACTGGGCCCCCCAGAGTGGGCACAATATGGGGATGGTTGCCTCTGGGCCCACGTCCTAGAGGATGCCCCTCCGCCCCAGCTGGGAGACACGGCCCAGCCCCCCTTTCCCCGCCAGCTCGTTAGGGTGCCGGCTAATGAGTCCGGCGCTAATGAGCCCTGGAGAGCGAGACACCCCCCGGAACCACCCACTCGCCATCGACAGCCGGCCGGGCCGGCAGTGAATCACGGGCGGGGGCCGGGGGCTTCGTTAGCGACGCCGTCTAATGAGGCCTTCGATGGGGGGAGGGGCTGGCAATTAGGAGCCGCAGGCCCAGGGGTCCGGCCGGCCCCTCCGCCCCTGGGCTCCCAGCCCCCCCCTCCCCCCCCCGGGCATCAGACTTGGGGGTCCCAGGAGCCCCCCACCGCCCCAGCTGGTTCATTAACATCTCGGTCCATGCACGGGGTTAGGGAGCCCCCCCCAGCTCGGCAGCGGCACCATCGATCCGCGCCCCCGACACCCCCGCCGGCCGCCCGGGCCTGCGTCACGCCAGGAGCGGGGAGGGGTCTGGGGGGGCTGGCGGACGGGTATAAATCACGCCGGGGAGCTGGGGCCAGGGAGACGGGGGGGTTGCTGGGCCGTGCACCGCTTCGGGGATCACAGGTAACCTGCGGAGGGTGCTGGGGGCCCGGGGGGCTGGGCTGGGGTTCTGGGCTGAGCCTGGGGGGCACCGTTGGGCTGGGGGAGAGGGGGCTGGGCTGGTGGGCTGGGCTCAGCCTGGGGGGGGCGCCGCTGGGCTGGGGGAGGTGCTGGTACCAGCCGAGCCAGGCAAGGTCGGGGCTGGGAGCGGAGGAGGAGATCTTGGTCTCGGCCAGCTGGGGAGGGGCTGGGGGGGGGGGG